GGAAAGACTTCTTTATGGTAATTTTATACTGTTTGTTGATTAAGTATACCTTAAATCTGGTGTACAATTTTTTGGATCACTTCGACTTGAAGGTTTCAAGTCCACTAAATACACCAGTATTAGAACGCTAGTTGTGATTGCACATAGTTGTAATCACTAACAAAGTCGAAATATCTTCACGGTAATTTCAGCGACAGAGGAAAGTCAAGTTACGTCAAGTGACGCTGAACTGGATGTAGACGATGACCTTTTAAGAGGTGAGAAAAGATTTTTTGAAAGAAGGCCCAATGAAGTTTTTTTCACATTTACATCAAAATTTGCGCATGTTCTATGAATAAGTTTTTGAAACAGCAAAAGATTGTTTCTTCAAATTTCAGACTTTGTTACCGGTAAAAGAAGAGGAGACATTTTGTCTCGGCCGTATCGCCTGTTTTGGTCTTCTAAACATTTCACTCCTCTTTAGACAGTTATGTCAACACCAGGCCCACGCTGTAAACCACCAGCCAACAAAAGGTGGAACCGCTGACTTTCACAACAGGCAAAATGGCACTTTGCGGGAAAGTTATACTTTCTCAAACAAATTTCTCCAGTTAGCCTCTTCGAGTATGTTCTCAATAGACAATTACTTGTATGAGAAAAACCAAGTGATAAAAAGAAAAAGACAAAAACAAAAAAACCTTTTTTTCCAGCGCAATTTTCTGAACGATGGTTAAACCACGAACTCTTGTCATTCTCAAACTCTCAGTACGATGTTCTTTTTTTTCGTTATCAGAACATTCACAAGTTTTAACCTTTTTCGGTCCTGGCTTTGCTTTGCTTGATGCAATAACTTATGGGGTTTTATATTCTAACATGAAATTTTGGAAAACGTAACTCAGGTGTATAAGGGTCATTGGAAAGTCTCTCGACCTAAATTTAAACCGATCAGACTTGATGTGGTTATAGCCAGGCTACAGCTAAAAATCCAAATAGCTTGCATATTTTTAAGAAAACAAAATGCAGAGATAAATTCTCGTGAAGGGCGATTTTGAACAAAATTGAGTTAAGAGAGGATCTTCCGGTGAAACTTTTGATATTTTGGAAAACGTAAGCCAGGTTTAAAAGGGGTTTGGAAAGCCTCTCGACCTAAATGTAAATTGATAAACTTGTGGTAATAGCCAAGCTACAGCCCAGACTCCCAGCAGCTTGCACACAACCAAGATGGACAGATATTAAACTTTTCTGGTTATTTTTTCTCATAGCTCTAAGCTCCTTTAACCGAAAAGTTCGTTTGGATACATAAAGTTGGCATCATCCGTCAAGGGTCGTATCACTCATTACTAAATCGTTAAAACTAAAACGTTGTGTTTTCAGAAATAGCGAAAGTAAGTCTGGAGAAAGGTAACAGAGAATACAGACAAGAAGAAGCTAATAACGCGATAAACTTCTACACGGAAGGACTTCGAGTGAACTGCAAAGATAAACGGATGAACGCCAAGCTTTACAGCAACAGGGCGACAGCTCATTTCCGTTTGGGTAACAATTTCATATGTAAACATATAAATCTGTCGTGCAGCGTTACAAGATAACGGAATACACAATCTGCATCTAGAAAAAGACAAAAATTGAGCAAATATATAAATCGCCCTGTAGCGGATGAAAATTAAGCAAAAGAATGATCCTCGTTACATTTTAAGCAATTGTAATCTTTTAAGGCTTCTTTGTTGCAATTCCATATGATGACCACTTTTTTAAGCCTTATTTCCTGAATCTCATAGCAAACTACGTGGAATGTCTCGATGATGCAACAGTTGCCGTTCAATTGGAACCCACTTTAATCAAAGCTATTAAGAAAGGTGGGTTTTTGCAGACATAATCCATCAACTTTCTATTCTCTGATTTCGTCAAAAGGGGATTGTGTGGTTTGTGGCGGTAACTGCAACCCAAGTGTCAATTGTATCTGGTGTATCGATGTCTGTGATGTGGGTAAAAAGCATAATAAAATGTCAATAAGCTCTAAAATACCACCGCCTGTTTAGTTCACGTTGTAGAGCGCCGGAGGTCGAGGGTTCAAGCCCCAGACGGGATCGTCTCCCTGAGTCTTAAAATATCTGAGGACGATGTGCTGCCGCCTAAGCTGTGACATATGCAAATGATTTGATATTCTAGTCCCGGATAAGAACGGAAAACCGTAAGCCCCGTTTCTTGCATCTTCTGTGTAACTCAAGGAGGCACCTGAAAAATTCCCTTTCAAAAGTTGTAAACTGCTCAATGCAGTCTGCCCGAAAACTTCCCCGAAAAGAGTTGAAAAGCGCACAATAGCACATTAAAATGAAGAATGCGCGCGATAAATTTATCGTTATCATCATTAATTGAAGCTTAATTGGTAGCCGCTTTCCATTAGCTCCTTATTGTTAATTTCCAGTTCTTCTACAAGTTCAAGTTTCTTTCATTCTCACAATTTTTGGTCCCAGGTAAATGGGAAATTAAGTCCATTTTATCAGTACGTTTATACTTTAACAGTGATGATTATTCTCTCCTTTTCAGGAGCCAGAGCTTGTGTCGAACTTTGCTTGTACAAAGAAGGAAGAAGCTGGTTGCAGATGGGATTGGCCGTATCCTTTAACAAATGTTTCAAACGTGATACGTGATGCAATGCGAGTGATATTTCAAGGGAAATCAATACTTTCCGGAGAGATTCTTCAACACATAATGCAAGCAATGTTCGATTCTCTTATACTGCACTGAGCAGTTTAAAGAAGCTGAAATATCCTTAAAGAGTTCTTTCGACTATTCCTCGAAACTTTGCTCAAAAGAAAAGGCTATATTAATTAATTCCCAGAGTTTGAGCTGAATATCCCTCATTTTTGTCTTCAGACAAGCATCGTCATACCGACCGAACCTAAACCAATAAAGGCACTTCAGAGCTGGATGAAACTCTCCAATAACTTGGAATCAAATCTCTGAAAAAAACCTACGTTCGAATTATCATTCCAGTTTTAAGGTTCTATCTAATACTCTCACTGCTTTTTTAAAATACACATTTCCACTGCATTTTCGCAAATCTGCTCATGATTTATCTATCCTTGACACGTTTTAAGATTGAAAATGACAACAAACGTCTCCTTCAATTACTAAGGACAACTAATGCTGAACTAATACTCATAGCAAACAGTTCTTCCTATCTCGGCAACGCTTATCAAGAACTAGGAAAGTTTAAAACTACTATCAAGTATCATCAGCGCCAACTAGAAATTGCTAAACTAGTGGGAGATAAGACCGAGGAGGGACGAAACTATTGCAATCTTGGCAACACTTATCAAAACCTAGGACAGTTCAAAACAGCCATCCAGTACCATCAACGTCATCTAGAAGTTGCTAAAGAAGTGGGAGACAAGGCCGGCGAGGGAATCAGTTATGGCAGTCTCGGCAACGCTTATCAAGGTCTAGGACAGTTCAAAACAGCCATCCAGTACCATCAACGTCATCAAGAAATTGCCAAAGAGGTGGGAGACAAGGCCGGAGAGGGAATCAGTTATGGAAATCTCAGCAACGCTTATAATAGTCTAGGACAGTTCAAAACAGCTATCCAGTACCATCAGCGTCATCTAGAAATTGCTAAAGAGGTGGGAGACAAGGCCGAAGAGGGAATTAGTTATGGCAGTCTCGGCAATGCTTATCAAGGTCTGGGACAGTTCGAAACAGCCATCCAGTACCATCAACGTCATCAAGATATTGCTAAAGAGGTGGGAGACAAGGCCGGAGAGGGAATCAGTTATGGCAATCTC